AGATTACTCGAACAGCAGCATACCTGGCTTCTCCGAAGAAGACACCGAAACCTCGTCTATATCTTCTCCTTGTATAGAAATCGTATTCATACTGTCTATGACATTGTTAGATTGTGTCGTGATCTTGTCATCTACTTCATCGTCAGCCTCTTTATTAACAGAATCTTCCTCTGGCAGCTGTTCCATGGGACCTAATAATGCTGAAGGATCTACACATTCATCCAAGAAAAGATCTGTAATCAAACATTGACTTAAAGGCGAGGGCTTCTGGAATATTACGATTAATGCAAAATAATAATATTAATAATAATAACAATAATAATAATAATAATAATCTTTTCTCAAATTTAAAACCAATACTTGCTACAGCAGGTTGAAGAATTAATAGACGGCCTAACTAATTCTCCGATTTTTTAAAACTTGCAAGATAACAAGAACAAGAACTTACTCAATCCATACAAAAAAGCATATTATCCTATAACCATGTAGATCTTATTTATCCCATCTACAGCAGTTAAAACTCAAGACTATTCTACAGGTATTCATTTCCTTCAGTTAGCATGGTTTTTGTTTTGTTTTATTTATCATTAAAAATAATAATGCGGTCGACATTATTTCTAATAGAAATTATTTCTTATATTTATGAGATAGCAAATTATTACCAGTTCTTCCTACATGATCCACTATTGGAAAAAAAAAGAAAAAAAAAAAAAACTCCTTGAAGGAACTGCATAATCTTCCATTCGAGAAAGAATATTCTCCAATACTATAATTGTGTGAAGCCACAAAACAGAAACTGCCTACACAAAACTATGAGTACCTGGGGTATGCATTATGAACTGCTCTTGTGCAGACAATAGGCTGGTAAGGAGCGGGTTATTCTCCCAGGACCAGAAAAATATGGTTGTGAAAACAAGGGCAGCCAATGTAAAAGAAGAATGTCGGCCCCAAACTCTACTCGACTGTGAATACTTCATCTCTTTATGTACGTACACTCACATCGACCGGACACAAAGAATCAGGTTTCACAGACAATGCCAGATTTATACACAGAACTTAAGCATGTAGATCGTCACTGAGAATGCAACAACAGCTGGTGCTTCTTATATCGGCAAATATAACACTGTGAAACAAACTTGTGTCAATACAGTTTCAAGCAAAACAATGCAGGCAGGATGATTACCACAAAATAAGAAGCTGACTATCTTAAAATTAAAAATAAAAATTGTGAGTTACTTTACACAAGTCAATCATTCTAACACAGGCATCCATCCTTGTCAGTCAAACTGTAAATTAGATAGTCCTAACATCAACCTCATACGAAAGTTTTTCGAGTATCAGCACATTTTCACTAAATTGAAAATGATGCCAATTTCAAAAGGTCATTTATTGCCCAATGAAATTCAAGTCAAATTGGACCAATCTCTTTTATTGGGAAATGCTACGGTCCCGTTACGGAACCATTCTGTCGGGGTTTGTAACTGTTAGATCGTATATCCCCAACGGTTACATGATGATCTAACGGTTACGAACCCGGCGGAATAGTTTCGTAATGGGACCGTAGCATCTTCCCTCTTTATATATCCTTTCCCTTAACCCCCAAAACATACAATTCTTACTTCAATACAAATTTCTTCATCCTATTGATTGATGGGCTTTATCTTGCATAGCAGCCAACCAGATGACTAAAACATAAAAAATAGCACCTGTGAAAATCCCAGAACAATGACGAAGGACATTACAATCTGATACTAATGAATGAAACTCAAAATATGGTAAAAAAAAAAAAAAAAAGAATTGTATTTTGAAAACGATAGCAGAATTTGATTGCAAATGTATTCACCTGGGAATGCTTAATGCAGGTAGATCTGTCAAAATCCTAGGTAATTGTACTGGTTTCCTGGGAAAAGTCGAATAGATCCAAATGCGTATATATTAATAAGAAACACATGAATTTGTGGAAAATGGTGAAGACCGAGCA